TGTCGCTTCCACCCATCTCCTTGAACTGCGGTCCAAAGAAGCTAATAGACATCAATCATTTTGGGCAAGCCACATATAGTGCAACAATACAAATTATAAAAACTATTGGATGATTAAAAATACGTTGATAAACACGGATGTCAAACACCTTGCGGTCGAAGAAGAAAGCTGTGGCGAGTGTCAAGAATGGTGTTGGATGTATAGCTGTTTGATTTTAGCCTTATTCTTTTTGCTTCAACATCCACTTTGAACTCTTGGACCAAAAGGCAAAGATAGAGGAATCTAATACGTCATACAGAGACCATAAGATCAACAAAAATACTAGAATTCGACAAGTTACAAAGGTGCCATAAGGACGAAAGTTACTTACATCCCATCTAGTTACTGTTTCAAGGGGATATATTCTTAGTGTCCTACCGGTGTTGGGATCAAGCATCCGAACTCCATCCAAACTAACTTTGCATAAGGCACAAGCGAGAAAAGTATTGATTAATGACTGCTGGACCATACCAAGTCATGACATGCCAAGTATAACAACATAACATTATTAACACCCCTTCCTTAAACAGAGTTTAATGCAAACATTTCTGGTGTATTGGAAACCATTATTTAGTAATTTTAAATGTGAACGTTTTTTGGCAACAACAATTCGATCCAGCTTGTCCATTTTTCGGTGCAAATTCACAACCAATCGATTTAACTACCATTTCATTCACAACATATTTCAAACACCAACATTAGTATCCTTACAAGGTTCTTCTTTGTTTAACCGGTAAAAAAGAAATGACCATTACTTTCTATAGTGTGTTAGCTATACAAACATCAAAAAGATGATGCCCCGAACTTCCTCAGCATATCATTCAGTTAATTATCAGTAAACTAAACAGCTTGACTTGGCCTTTGCGCTCACCAATAAGCCAAAGTTCTACAATAAACCGTTTATTTCACATTTAGCCACTACAAATGTACCCACTACTGGCTACTGGTTACTTGATGAAGTACATTTACTGGTTAATGCATTTTATGCCTAATTTAATGCTTAATGTTCTACATTAAGCCAAGTTCATGCCTTAATCAGCCCCTGTTGATGATGTCTTGTGCTAAGACGGTGCATATTAAGCCACTAGGGTTCGGATTAGCATGTAGGAGGAGAATTTGCAAATCACGGCCAAATTGAAACTTTCCCCCAAATCCCCGAAACCCTAGATCATGATTTTCGCCCTTTTACCCCAAATTTCAAAATGGAAACCCTAATTTCTACTAAGTTTGGGCCTTGGAACCTCTTACCTTAGCTCGGCGTCGTCACTGCCATCATGCTTGGGCCTCTGACGTGTCCACACCCCGACACCACCACTGTGCATCAGGACCCATCGCGCCACCGCCGCGGATGAAAAACACGGCTCGTTGCGACGTCCGTTACGGACCACGCCAACTCGCCGGATTGCGCGGAGGAGGCCATCGAGGCGACCAGGATCGATCTGTAGTTTCTCTGCGGAAGAAGCCCCACCATGATCGATGTGTGAGGGAGAGGGAGAGGGAGAGGGTGAGGGTGAGGGAGAGTTAGGAAGAGGGAGACAGGGTCCACCAGCCACTCACCTAGGAGATGAAGCTCCACCTTCAGAGCTGCGGCTATGGGCAGATTTGGGCCGTCGTCGAGCAAGCGGAGGAGATCCGGAGCGCCATTGTTGCGGACGGGGAAGGAGCTGTGCTCTTCGCACATGGTCAACGAGGTCACGAACAGGGGAGCAACCGACGAGCACGACGAGCGTCGCAACGGGGGAGGAGGTGGCCACGGGCATCGCGACGGGGGAGGAGGTGGCTACCGGAGAGAGAGAGGACGGGGGCAGCGGATGGATGGAAGGAGACGGAGAGAGAGAGAGAGAGAGAGAGAGAGAGGAACACCGGCAGTAGATATTTTGGGGTGACTTACTGTACGTTGGGTATTTATAGGGGCGGCTCAATCACCAGCCGCCCCTACAAATAAAAATACCGGGGGCGCCTGGTGAGTGAGCCGCCCCTACAAATCTGACCCATTTATAGGGGCGGCTCGTATCACCAGCCGCCCCTGCTGTTCTATTTGTAGAGGCGGCTGGTGTCTGGGCTCCCGAACACGTCACTGTAGGGGCGGCTCCATCACCAGCCGTCCCTAAAAAAAATTCGTCCCGTTGCTAAAAATTGTTTTTTACGTAGTGATGGAAATATCCCTGTCAAAAACGGGATACCAGCAATACGGACGGAAAAACACTCAATCATTTTCGGTCCTGGACCTGGTGTATCCTGTCCCGTTTTCGGTACCATTTCCGTTTATCCCGAAAAAAAAACAAAAACGGACGGGAAAATACGGTATACGGTTGCGGACGGAACGGGATTCATCCCGTCCGTTTTCATCTTTAGCCAAGAGTGATGCCTAAATAGGTGAGAGAAGATTGGAGCATCACTTCGCACGTTACAGCTAACGAAGCGAAATCCGAGTGATGCCGAGAATTCCTAGAGGGGAGAGCATGTACTGGCATCGATGCCCAGCTAATAAAAAAGTATTTTGTTGCTCAGCTGATGCAATTCCACAGTGAGACTATCCGAGTCTCCTTCGCCGGATTTGCTTTTTTCAATATTTGACGTGTAGCCGACCTGCAGCGATGCCCGTTTGTTTGTACGCTGCAAGTCATGGAGAGCGATTCCGTTTTTCCTACGGTGGAGCCTAATTTTATTAGGCTTCACTCCCACGCTGTGGAAGGCCTAAGCACAGTAATAAAAACTTATTATTACTGGCATCCATCATTTCGTCTAGCCACGGCATCAGTTGGACTTTGGATAGCGATTGCGACCACAGACTCCAGTCGCCCGCGCGATCCGTGTCGGCGGGCGCATCGCCGCGTGCTCCCGCGTCCCGTTCCAAGCCGAGCCTCCTGGAGCACCGTGTGACCGTGTCCGTCAGGCCGTCAGGCAGAATTCAGGCTGCGGCTAGCCCTTCGCTCGCTGCCTCGCTCCCATCAGGCCACCATCCATCTCTGTGCGTTACTTCGCTGTCAAGTGTCAACTGTCATGACGATACCTCAGGAAGGAAGGAGTCAGGACCAAGCCGTGCTTCCTTTTTATGTCTGGCCTTTTTCTTGTTAAAGTAGTTTGCGATGGCAAGAGAAAGGCACGATGCAGAAGCCTCAACATCTGTTCGGCCTTTTTTTTCTTGTGAGATGACCAGTACCTACGGTGGCGGAAGAGTAGACTCAATAGAAAGACAGAGTAATAATCAAATAAATTTAAGGCCCTTTGGAACACGGGAAAACAAAAACACAGGAATAGGAAAAACATAGGAATTGCACAGGAATGCAGTTGCAAAATAGAGGATTGAAAAACACAGAAATTTGAAAGGAATGCAGCCGGTTCGGCAGGCCGTAAACGATTGTGGATTATTTACTGCTGGCTGGTTTGGTGTGAGAGAAAAATACTATTCCAGTTTATAATCCACGATTGTATACGAGCAAGCGAACAGGCTGATGATCATTTGGATGGACATAGGAGAAACGTAGGATTTTTAGCAAGAGGTTTGAGTGGATGCTAAAGTTCTTGTAGTTTTCCTCCAAAACAACATGCAAAGGAAAAATTCCTACACTATTCCTATGCTCCATTCCTATGAACCAAAGGCATGAACAGTAACAATTCCTATAGGATTCTCAATCCTATGTTTTTTCTCCATTTTTCCTATGAACCAAAGGAGTCCTAAGACTTATTACGCTACTTAATGCTTGTATAACAAATTGTGGAGTACATTTTACAATTTGTTACCGAGTTGCTAAATGGACTTTATAGAATTGCATGTGAAAATTTTAACCTTTTAGTAAAATTCTAGATCCGTCGCTGTCTTTACCGTGTGATTAAAAAAAACTAGACATCCTAAGTTGGCTCAAGTTTATGAAAAAAATCCGGTCATTAGGATTAATGAATCCTTGCTAAAAAAACTAGGATCAATGAATCAGCAGGGTTGCTCTGCCTCAGACTCGACACAACCTCAGACCTCAGCAGGCCCGCAAAAGCAGAGGCAATCACCCGGCTACTGGATAGGCACATGCATGCGCAGTTACCTACCAGACTTCTAGGCTTCTATGCAGGTTTGGTAGCCACTGGAAAGCATGGAGAATTATTTGACATCGAATCTTCTCTCTTCCCATTTTTCTCCCCACATGACCACATCCACACATGGAGGCATGTACCTCACTCTAGCGTCAATCCATCTCTTGTTGTGCATCAAGTCATCAAGCCGTCTGATAAAAACTGCAGAGTCTGCAGTAGTAAAGCTTATCTACAAGCCACCGTCTAAAAACTGAATCTTCCATACAAAAGTGGTTTTTATAATTGGACAAAGTTCGTCAGAGACGCCTTGCACTGTTGCACATTATTGTACACGGCTACCTTTCACCCTGTCCACTTTTCAGAGGGGCCACCTTGCATTGCATCTGATCCTCCATTATTCGTGTATCGTATTGAGGCCCATGTAGTTCTCGGTGTCCATACTTAGATACAAAAGATGCATTCCCGTGAGACCATGGCCACGCAACACCACCACATACAGAATGCAGTAATAACAGGCAATCATCTGACCACCATCATCACAACTTGAAATGAGCACCATTAAAGCCTACGAATGGCAATGGATATAGCAACCAGAAGAAACCACAATTAAAGAGCGACCTTGGCCCAACACGGATTGGGAGATGGTCTGCAACTTTACTGCAAAATGCTGGAGCATCAAACGAGTAGACTGCAGCTGCTAAACGGCAAGCCAAAGCTTGCTCCACTTCATCAGTTCTCAAATCTGGGAGTCAACTACAGCACTCTACGAGATACTAAGCTGATAACCTCTGTAAATTTCCGCGAAAGCGACTGGTACACCCTACTCTCGTAGTCAAAGATGGGCCCTCAAATCTATGCCTGGGTAAGATTAGCAAAAAGTTATCTAGGGTAACGCCTGGATTCTTCTTAGCGGGGGTTAGGGCCGGCTGCTGTCACAGACCATAGCCGCCTCTTGGGGAGACAGAGCTGCCCTTCAGGTTGAGCCTTGCCATGTCAGGCATCTGCCAATTAACTGTAGACGCGTCTGCTCCGAAAGAGCTTGGGTCATAACAGGAAGTGACGCTTCTGCTCCGGCGGTGACGGGCAGACATCTGCTTTAACCTTTCAGCTTCATTCTTTAGGGCATGCGTCTGACCTGCGGGTTTCATTTCAAAAGCATTTCATTTAGACGAGTTTGAACCATGTTCTGGAACCATCATACTTCAGCTAGATAATCACAGCATTTCATACTTATTGGTAGATGCAATAATGCAAAAAAGTTTATTTTTGTCTGGGAATGAATTACAAAAGGAACTACAGAAACAATTTGCATATGCTAAGCTATATTTCAGATTATCCCTATGAAAACAATTCAACAGAAACTCCTGGCACACTGTAGATCAAGCTGCAATGTTATAATTGAGAAAAGAAAAGAAAAAAGCTATTATCAACAGCAAGTAATTGAGTCTGAACTTAAAACCTGAAAGGGGGTTACCAACCCTCCGTGGACTATATTTGCAATGTTTTTTGGATTTTATTTTGTGTTAACAGAGTTGTGGACATAGCACCTGGCTATGATTAGCTGAACAAGACCAGAAGGCTTTTATGATTATTGGCCAAAATACTGAAGCAAAAATGATGGTAACTGTTTCTACTGTTGTGTGGATGCAAAAACCACAAACACAATTAAAAGAACGGCCAATGTTGGGTAGTTAGTTAGTTAGTTAGTTAGTTACTAAAAGGTAAGACCATTCTTATGTGGAGTTCAGGAGCCTGTATAAAGAGCTAATTACTATTTTATCGAACACCATTGAACTGCATTTAACATTTGAGCACAACTTGCACCAAAAGTTGAACCAGAAGCATGCTACTGAATCAAATAATCACAATAAAAAACCTTTGAACCCCATTTCGTAACATCTGGTTCAGCGGCAATACTGTTTCCGCTTATGACCTAAAAATATAGAGCGCATGATATTTCTGTCTATGGCCACGTTATTTTCTTGCTGCACAACTACAAATATTCAATGAACCACGTGTTACTAAAAGGATGCATAGTCTAAATTATACTCTAAAATAGCTCTAATAACTCAAAAGGGAGCACGATGTTTCTCAGACATACCATCCTTAATCAGTTTTGCATGCTGAAGACTGGAAATCTGCATCCTCAGTTGCTTGTTTTCCATTGATAGAGCATTATGAAGCTGGAAAAGTGATGACACTCTGACAGCCAAATCAGCTCCCATGTTCTAGAAAAAAAATGGCATTATTCATATAAAACAAGTAATATGAAACCCACAACATTAAAATAAAAGATCAACATAATTACCTGAAGTGAGTCAACAGTTCTTTCAAGTTCAGCAATGTATTGAAGTTTCCGGACCCTAGATCTTTGTCCTGAACGCCTGCAAAAGTGTTGATTTGCTGAGTAGGCATCAATATTGAAATTCAAAGGACATGACATGTTTTCTCTTGCCTTGTAGTGTTTCAACTAGAAATGTTCAACATCCATCAAACAAAAACTGTTTAAGTATGAAACCTAAACTATTTTGCGCAGGAAAAGAACTCACAATATAAGAAATGTGTGTGGTGCGAATGCAAAGATAATATATTGACTTGGTAACATCAAACTCATAAATTGAAGCCTTAATCAGGAATTTCTGTGAGTAGAGCAGTAAACATCAGGGCAGTCATAGCTTGAATATCAGCCCTGATGTTTTGATAAACTCATTTTCTGTGTTACTGGATATGTATATATTAGGATCAATTAGGCTCAATTAGAGAGATTCCTAGATATACTATTTCTATATATAGCCTAGGATAGCTTCCTTGTACAGGTAATAGCTTACCATGTTTGTACTCTCCATGTATGCCTATTGGCTATATATATGAAAGGCTCCCCACCCACATAGGGTGTGTGGTGATTCTTTACATGGTATTAGAGACCTAGGTCCTCTTTCCTCCCTCCCTCCCACGACCAGACCTCTCTCTCCTCCCAGGTCATCATGCCGACCTCCCCTGCCACCAGCCCCAGCCAATCTTCTGGCACCTTGGCCCCCACAGGCACCTCCGCTGCCCCGGCCATCCTCGTCGCCCCCTACGCGACGATCTCTGTCAAAAACCACATCCCGGTGACCCTGGAACTGCCCAAGCCCAACTTCAACCAGTGGGAGCCATTCTTCTCCTCCCTTTGCGGGAAATTTGGTCTTCTCTCGCACGTGGATGGCACGGCGGCGGCCAATCCCACTGACCCTGCTTGGGCCATCGTGGACTCCTGCGTTCGCGGCTGGCTCCTTGGCTCCGCTGGGCCGGACGTCCTCGGCCTTGCTGCGGCGCCAACCAGACTGCGCGCGAGCTCTGGGTCGCCATCAAGCGCCTCTTCGAGGCCAACAAGGCTCCGCGCGCCATCTTCCTGGGTCACGAGTTCCACTCCATGACCCAGGGCGATTCGTCCATCAACGCCTACGCCCAGCGGATGAAGGCCACCGCCGATGCGCTCCGCGATGTCGGCCGCACCATCACCGACTCGGAGCTCGTCCTCAACTTCCTCGCGGCTCAATCCCTCAATCATTGCACCGCCAACAACATCGCTGGCGCACCGCCAACAACATCTCAGAAGCTCGTCGTTCTCCGCCTGCAACGAGGGCCGCGTTCTTTGCTTGCATCGCGCGTTCATCGTGCGTGCGGCACTGACCGCACCATCTCCAGGACCACCAGCGGCGGTTCCATCGCCGGTCGCCATGGCGGCATGGGCGGCAACCTTGGCGTCCCGGCGGCGAGCGGCTCCTAAGGGGCACGAGCCCCTCGGCCCTCGGTATGCTACCCTCCTCGACCGGGGGGTGCATCAACCTTGCCTTTCAGCGTCGAGGGCCCAGGGTCTCGGCGCTTCCTTTTCAGTGCGTCGATGGACTCTCTTCCGCGACGGCACCAGCAAGCACCATTACACCGCCTGTTGATGCCACCTCCAGCCAGGATGCGTCGTCGGAGCCCCTGGACTCGGCCATCCTCCAGCTGGGCCCCCTGGTTACCCCTGCGGACCCTGCTGCTGCTCCCCCTGCGGGCAGGCCCCAGCTGGGCGGCCGGCTGTTCGGCGTTGTCTACACTCGCCGCGCCCGGTTTATAAAGTTGCAAACCACGAGGCGATGGCCCCGAGGTCGCTCAGTGGCCCCTATTGTACCTCCGTGCACCGCGCACCCCCACCGGCACCACTGCGCATCTCCATCAGCTCCAAAGGGTCTTACGTGTGACACGTTTTCGGCCAGACCGACCTCCGCCACCGTCGGCGCCACGGTTTCTCTGCCTCCGTCGCCTCGCCCATCCCGGCGAACTATCGTAGTGCCCTCACCGATCCCACTTGGCGCGCTGCGATGGCTGAAGAGTACAAGGCGCTGATCGACAACGGCACTTGGCGCCTCGTCCCTCGGCCACCTGGTGCAAACATTGTCATTGGCAAGTGGCTGTTCAAGCACAAGCTTCACTCCGACGGCTCCCTCGCCCGGCACAAGGCGCGCTGGGTCGTCCGTGGCTTCTCACAGGAGGCCGGCGTCGACTACGACGAGACCTTCAGTCCGGTCGTCAAGCCGGCCACGATCCGCACCGTCCTCAGCATTGCTGCATCCCGAGACTGGCCCATACGCCAGCTCGACGTGAAGAATGCCTTCCTTCACGGCAACCTCCAGGAGACAGTCTACTGCGAGCAGCCGAAAGGCTTCGTTGACCCTGCTGCCCCTAACTCTGTATGCTTGCTGCAGAAGTCCCTGTATGGACTTAAGCAGGCACCGCGAGCTTGGAACCAGCGGTTCTCCACCTACATCTGCAGCATCGGCTTCACCACATCCAAGTCCGATGCCTCCTTGTTCATCTACAAGGACGGCGACGACATGGTCTACCTCCTTCTCTACGTCGACGACATCATCGTCACCGCGTCGTCCACGACACTTCTCCAACATGTCACCTCCCGGCTTCACTCAGAATTTGCCATGACGGACCTTGGCGACCTCCACCACTTCCTCGGCATCTCGGTGACCCGGGACAGCAGTAGGTTGTTCCTCTCCCAGCGGCAGTATGCTGTGGATCTCCTCCAGCGTGCTGGCATGTCTGAATGCCACTCGACTGCAACACCTATGGATGTCTGGACCAAGCTGTCCGCCTCAGAGGGCGCCCAGGTCGCCAACCCCTCAGAGTACAGGAGCATTGCTGGTGCCCTCCAGTACCTTACGTTGATGTTGTCCAGCAGGTCTGTCTCTTCATGCACGACCCTCGTGAGCCGCACCTTGCGCTGATCAAGCGCATCTTGCGATACGTCAAGGGCTCCCTGTCAGCGGGTCTGCAATTGGGCACCGGCGCCGCTGATCAGCTCACCGCCTACTCCGACGCTGACTGGGCTGGCTGCCCAGACACGCGCCGCTCCACCTCCGGCTTCTGCGTCTACCTCGGTGACAACCTGGTGTCTTGGTCCTCCAAGCGTCAGACGACGGTGTCTCGCTCCAGTGCCGAAGCAGAGTACCGTGCAGTGGCACATGTTGTGGCCGAGTGCTGCTGGCTGCGTCAGTTGCTCCAGGAGCTCCACATCCACATCCCGCTTGCGACGGTTGTCTACTGTGACAATGTGAGCGCCGTCTATATGACTGCCAACCCTGTCCACCACCGCCGCACAAAGCACATCGAGATCGACATCCACTTCGTCCGTGAAAAGGTTGCTCTGGGACAGTTCCGGGTGCTTCATGTCCCATCCGCACATCAGTTCGCCGACATCATGACCAAGGCTCTACCCGTCCAGCTCTTCACTGATTTTCGGACCAGTCTATGCGTCCGTGATTCTTCCGCTACGACTGCGGGCGGGTATTAGGATATGTATATATTAGGATCAATTAGGCTCAATTAGAGAGATTCATAGATATACTATTTCTATATATAGCCTAGGATAGCTTCCTTGTACAGGTAATAGCTTACCATGTTTGTACTCTCCATGTATGCCTATTGGCTATATATATAAAAGGCTCCCCACCCACATAGGGTGTGTGGTGATTCTTTACACTTTTCCTTCAGATGGTGGGGGAACACCATCAGAAATACACCCAAGGAGATGCGCAAGGGGCTGAACTCCCTTATTATTTTGGTGGTCTGGGAAGTATGAAAATTTAGGAATGCTTGTGTGTTCGAGGGTCTTTCTCCAAATATCCAGAGCCTTCTACAAAAGGTCGCTAATGAATGCAGCTCTTGGTGCATGGCAGGGGCCTCTGACCTCCAGGACCTGCTCCTAAGGTCGAATGACACAGAACCTTAGTTTCTGGTTGGGTTGATCGTATCCTATTTTCAATGGCGTGTGCTTTGTAGTTAACATGGCTTGTGTGGTGTGGGTTTGGGTGGGGCTGTTCTCGTGTTGCTCTCTTATTCCTTTTCCTCTCTTAATGAAATGACATGCAGCTATCCTGCGTAGTTTGAGAAGAAGAAAAATTCCCTCCATTCCAAATTGTAAGTCGTTCTGGCTTTTGTCGATACATAGCTTTTACTTTGTATCTAGACAAAATGTATATCTAGGTGTGTAACAAAAGGTATGTATCTAGAAAAACCAGAACGGCTTAAAATTTGGAATGGAGGTAATAAATATCTTTCTGGTATAATGATGTTCGGGCTCCCTTTTAATTGTACAGAGACTATGTAATGTACGCATCTTGGAAAAATAAGAATTCTGATTGACACATAACATAGACTGGCTGTTGGACAATCTCGGGAGTAGTATTATAAAACTAAAGGAAATTGTTGCTTTTACAGTATTCAAGCAATGAGGATTTACGAACTAACTTTTGAAGACACCACATACCCACATGGTTTGAACTACTTATGCTGCTGAGATCATACGACAATAAATTCTACCTGGCATTGCTACTGCTGGTGACATAAGTCAAAACTATCAGTGTCACACAATTAGAAGCACAATCAGTTAATTTAATTTCTGTAAAGCAGTAGTGTCATGTTCCTTTTCTGTTGGCAAGACCCAAAGTTCACATCTGCACTTGATATAATTTATACATTTCTAGCATTTTCACTACAAATTCCAGTTTAGTAAAAGCAACAATGCTATTGATTGGCAGAAACCGCTACCTTCTGAAAGAGAACATTTGAAGAAAGTACTTTAGATATTTCACTCACAAACATAAGTGTACCTTTTAAATGACTTGTCTTGATCAGGATGGCCAAAAGCATCACAGGCATCAGCAGTTCCACTGGCCACATTACCATTCACACCACTGGAGGCATCGATGGTCAGGTACTGCAAGGGGTTGCTGGGGACATTCTCAAGCACAGCATTTACCATGGAACTCTCCGAAGATGTCAGCCTACTCTTCTGTCTTGGCGAATTCGGACCATAAACACAGCTAGCCTCGACCACAGAACCGCTTTCACCACCTTCGCCAGCATCCAACAAGTCCTCAGCTTCACCACCTGAGTTTAGATCGCCTTCCTCAATCGGATAAATTGGGCTTTGGAATGTCGACAGTGCATCCAAGATGGCATCAGAATCGCTACAGGCCCTTCTGAGGGGAGGAAGCTTGGGAGCTTTCCCAGAATCCGCAAGGAGATCATCGAGCCAGCACGGCGGTTCACCAAAGAACGGATCCCCGGATGGAAACCTGCAGCTCTGCGTGAACATGCTGTCATCCCTTCGAGTGATCTGAGGACCCAGCGGCGGGCAGCGGGGTGGGAGGTGGGGTGACCGAGACATGGCGAGAACAAGCCCTCGTATCTTTGATGGCCTTCCTCTTTTGGCTCTGCTAAGTAACTAGAACCGAAGTTTCAAAAAAAAGTAACTAGAACCGATCGAGCATCCCTTGCGTTCTTCTGTTCATATGAAAAAACCAGCAGCTTTGGGTCAGATCCGAATATAAATGGCCTGCATTAGGGTTTGGGGTGCTTGACTTCGCATAGCAGGAAGGGAAGGGAAGGGAAGTGGCTGGCATACCTGGCGGATGCTTGTCTCCGGCGAAAGAGCCGATGAAGACCTGGCGAAGGTCGGCGCCGCCAAGTGAGAGGGTTCAGGGGTGTGAGTAGGGAGGGGGGAGAAAGGAAAGGGACGCGTGATTCGGGCGAACGCAACAGTCTGAGGAGGACGCGGTTGATGAACGCAAACGCAACGGCCTTGAAGTTCGCGGAGGAATGAAATGGGCCTTGCGTTGCCTCCTGGCTCATGGGCTGTCACTGTCAGTTTCACTGGATAGAAATTCGGAAAGAGTCCATCAACTTTCTTTTTCCCTAAAAAAACTATTTTTTTAAAACTAACACCCTTCAGCTATTTGCATGAGTTCGATTTATCCTCCCCAATCAGGAAACCAAATTTTTTTACGCTCTTTTAACAACTGAGAGAGGTAAATGGAACTTATTTTTTCAAAAAATATACAAATATTGTCTAAAATAAATATGTATTTAAAAATACTAAAATCTGATTTAATATTAGAAAATTCATAAAAATTTTGGTTTAACTCGAAAAAAACAGAACCAGATTCATATTTTTCTAAAATCATGTTCTATGTTTTTTGAGCTAGAAACCATAATATAAAGCCTAATTTTATTTTAGAAAAAATAGAAAGTCCAACATCCTGAGTCCACCCAAACTGTCTTCCTACTACATTATGGGCCTGTTTAGTTCCCCAGATTTCCTGAATTTGGCACTATGCAAAAAGAAGATTCCCCGTCACATCAAACTTGCGGTACATGCATAGAGTACTAAATGTTAACGAAATCAAAAACTAATTGCACAGTTTGGTTGTACTTTGCGAGACGAACGTTTTGAGCCTAATTAGTCAACGATTAGACAATTATTACCAAATAAAAACAAAACACTACAGTGTATCTACAGTAACGCCGAATCCGGCCTCCAACTAAACGTGGCCTATGTGTCTCTCAGTGCGTGTGCAAACCTACAGCGACGATGATGAACGAAGAAGCGTTGTGTCCATCCATATGTTGTCAGCCAAGTTACAAATGTCGGTTCAAGAGTATGAGAAGTCGCACGCACGGCTGCCGTTGATGGTCCAATGAGCGTGCAGACATCATCATCATGATGTCCACTAAGAAAATAGTGCTGCTACAAAGTTAAACCAAATGATATACATTTTTAATGAATATCAGGGCTTGAATTATATTTTTTTATTTGAAATTTCCTGTGCGTGTCTCAATGGTTAAGCAATATATTGTTGCTAAGGAAATATTTTGTTGCAGTTTGCTCAGCGGGTTACACAATGATTTATGCTATGATCTGCAAGAATTTGTCTACATCCGTTTCATATTTAACCTAAGAGTACAATACGCCAACAGTCACTAAATTTGGCATAGCATCTAGGTCCTCAGACTCCTTCTCGGGTATCGATATTAGGGATACCAAAAGCAAGGGAGCTAGTGCCCACGCTGACTTCCCCGGACAGAGCAAGACGTATTAACATGGCTTGCCCGACCCCTTGGGTACGGGCTCCGTCTCACCCGACCCCAAGGACGCAGTTTCTGTCTCGTCCGACACTGAGGCTGCGGGGGTCTCGCCCAAGGCCGCGGGCTCTGTCTCGCCCAACCCCGAGGCCGCGGGCTCCGTCTCACCCGGCCCTTGGGTGCGTGCTCCGTCTCGTCCGTCCCCCAAGGGTCGCGGGCTCCGTCTCGCCCGACCCCGAGGCCGTGGGGGTCTCGCCCAAGGCCGCGGGCTCCGTCTCGCCTAACCTCGAGGCCACGGGCTCCATCTCGCCCGACCCTTGGGTGCGTGCTCCGTCTCGTCCGACCCCTAAGGGTCGCAGGCTCCGTCTCGTCCGACCCCGAGGCCGCGGGGGTCTCGCCTAAGGCCACGGGCTCCGTCTCGCCCAACGGGGACCCATATCGCCGCCAACCACTCCAGGTCCAGGCGTATGGGCCTAGGTCGAAACTCTGACACCAGGGAAGAGACATGCACGACTCGATGTAACCCGAGGCCATGACAAGCCATACCTGAGGATTCACATCAAGAACAGTGTCGGGCGTACCGGTGCTATTCTGTCTAACCCTTGTACGAACGCTGACATGCGTGTCAGTTCACCACGACGTCCGTCGGGACGGGATGGAACGCCATGACCGGCAGATGACGCCTGCGCATGGTGCTAGTGACAGATAGGGCCGCGACGTGGAGCCGTCCTTGTTGACATCTACAGGATTGGCGGGACCCGCATGAAGGAGAAGAAGGACCCAGTGATCCTGGAAGCCTTCCTCTATCTCGTTTTTCTCCTTTTCCTCTGCTGTAACCCGCGCTTTGTCTTGGCCTATAAAAGGAAAAGTATGGCACCCCATGAAGGGGATCGGGGCCAGATCCGCACAAGAGCACGACACGAGCACACGGCTGAGCAGCGATCGAGCTCTCAGCACCCGTTCACTCCTTTCACCAGAGACTTGGGATCATTTTCCTCTCTCGCCTGTTTGTAACATCTACTACAAACTTTCAGTGCCAGTAACACGAGCGACAACGACGAACTGGACGTAGGGACTTTCTGCCCGAACCAGTATAAACCTCGTGTCCTCTAAGCACACCATCCGAGCCAGACGCGCAAATACAAATTTACTCGTGGTGGTCCGAAAACACCGACACTCCTAAAATGCACATTCAGGTCCTTAAGCTTGGCACATGGTACGTCACCCATTTGTTGTCGAGCGGTCCACGATGTCACCAACGATGACCAGCCCCTAAACTTGACAAAGTGTGTTATTTGTCCCTAAGCTTTCGGGACGGGACAAGGACAGAGAAGAGAACCATCCTAGTCCCACCAACCCCATCAGAAATATCTTTTCCTTCGTTTAAATCCCTGGGGATTTGCCCCGTCTCTATCTTCAATTGAGGAATTCTCTATGGGGAATAAGGATCGGGCCCATTGACATCTTTACTTTTGTGGTTTTCATGCTGTCAAAACCATTGTTGAAACCAGTTAGGGAGCAAAATCGGACTGTTTCAGAACATTGAGAAGCCCAAAATACTGAATTTCTGTTTAGGGGAGACGAGTCGGACTTCGACGAAAGTTGGAAGGTCAAATGAATTTTTTTCCCTTTCACCTTTACTTAAGGTCTTGGCCCAACACATTAGCTAGCTCCCAAGCCCGGGAAAATTGGAAGGCAGGCAGTCGCCAATACTATGGCTGGGTGCTTCTACGTTGTTCTAATGTTCTCTCCCTTATAGACAAACTCTCTCTTGTCGCTCGCTGGAAGCCACATCTCCCATTGACGCGGTGTGTATGTAGCTGTGTACCGCCTTTTTCATGAATCGAAGAGAACCAATCTCGCTCTCCAATTAGTATGTCCTCAACAATTTCTTATTCCCCACTCACAAATCTCATTGTTCCTCAATCGGAAGACTCATTGGTTAGAATTGGGCTTCTCATTGTTCCTCAATCGGAAGTACCACGCGCAACCTGCCTGAATGACTGAATTTATCAGAGGAGTAATAACAAGTGTTTGGTAGTTGGCACAATGTAATTGATTGTGCCCTATGGTAGAACAAACATATTACTAAACAACAGATGCAAAATAGCTAATTTGTTCAGATCAAGTGAATTTTTTTGAAAGTAAGATCAAGTGAATTTGACATGTGATTTTCAGGTTGATTTATCCAAAATGGCCAGTAAGCTTTGTTGACAATTTTATCAGCAGTTCCCATAAATTAAAATTTAAAATACATAGGAAATGTCAAAGAAAGAGTTAACATCCGCATCTGGGACAAGAAACTTATTATTGTTGATAAATGTACCATCTTGTTTTCATCTTCATCAAAATAGTGTATATAATACTAAAAAGTTTATATTGATCCTTTGCTCCACGAGAACTCCTACGCACACCCGAACTTTAAATCCCTATAATTTGCACATTTGGTTATATTTCAGTTTACCAGGGCAAAATCGGGAGCCCAAGGCACCAATTTCCTATATCTCGTGAATAGAATCACACTTTCTTCGCAAGAGTTCGCTGTTTCGTGCCATGCTCCACAACTTTCTCTTCAACATGAAGGCCCTTTCTTCGCCTCACAGAATTCATGAGCTTCTTGGCCAAGTTTGGTCCAATACTTGAACCATCACCGAATTCTTCAATCTCCTCCGGAGTTTTCGGGGTAAAGAAGGGGTCCTGAGGGATAACTTCCCAGTGGCTAAATGCTAGAATCGCACTGGCTGCACCTGACGTTCGCTTCCTAAGTTTCTCAGAGAAATCAGAGCTTTCGGCAACTGGCAAGTGAGCTTGCACTGTGAACAAAGATGTTCCTTCTTGTATCTCTTCCTTCAGAACCTTGGCCCGACAATCACCCAGAACAGCAAACGCTGCACCTAACAGCTCCGTCGGTGTGGTCAATTCACAAAAGTACATTGGTTCCACAAGCCTTGGTTTGCTCTGAAGAACAGCTTCTCGGCATGCTTCCTTCACTGCAGTAATTACTTGCCAGTGAAGATGTTATCATCAGAGGGAATTGCAACATCAGAGTTGTTAGACAGAAGGTGTGGCTCAACAATGAATGCCAAACCCCTCATAGGTTCATCGCATATGGGACCTGCATTTGTGGCAAACTGAAAACCTGAGACGATGCTGTTCCTTAGCGCTTCAGAAGAATATGTCGATGTCTCTGTTTCACTTTCAGTGGCATTTTTAGTTTCTGCATCAGATGCACCCGCAAACCCCAATCTCTCTGATACATGGTACCTACCACTCACAAGAATACCTTCCTTTCCATTTGGGCTTGCTGCGACACCACAATTTGATTCAAAGTCAGGCAAAAGAAGGAAATTTGGTCCAACATGTGAAGGACCCTGCCACCCTGGGCCCAGATTCTCTGAAGGTATCCAACCAATGTCTTCCTATACCTCTCAAGCTTCTCATTTTCCACTTGTTCAGAGATCGCTTCCAATTCACTGTCAATGGCACAAATCAAGCGCTGCCTAAGCATTGTTGTAGAATTACCGCCATCCTGATCAAGCTGTGAACTTTTCCTGTCGAGGATTTGACCAAGTAATTCTTCACTTTCCGCAAGGACCTTAGTCAGTGCATTGGGAAGCCTAATGACTTGAACTCTCACATTGAATCTCCCATTCGGAGTGGTTCTCTCAACAAACCCCTGTTGGGCCTTCATGCTTCCCATTAAGCCAACACCTTCTCCTTGGATGGTCTCCTTGAATGACACTAACGGCTTTGAGACCCCCAGCTGGACCTTGGCGAACCTCTCCTGCAAATCCTTGATACAGCGATCCAAATGTACCTGCCCAGCTGCAGCAAGGACGTGCTCGCCCCTCTGCGAGACCGTGTACACAACCAACGGGTCTGCCTTGTTAAGAAGCTTCAGTCCTTTTACGAGGGCTCCCAAATCAGCAGGGTTGGAGGGCTCAACCGCGACCTTGAGCATCGGAGACACCTGGAACGTCATGCTCGAGAATGGCCAGCAATTCTTGGTTGACGACAGTGTTGCACTGTTGAGCACGTGCTGGCCAAGGCCCTGAATCGCGACGACGTGGCCCGCAGCAACGCTGGGTACTGGCCTCAGGTCCTGCTCGAGCATCTCGTACAGGCCGTGCAGCTCCACCTCCTGCACATTCTTGCCCAACGCGTCGTGACCTTTTACCGAATCATACAGCGGAGACAGGACGAACACCTTCTGTCCTGCACAGAGTACCCCACTGAAGACCCTCGCAAAGGCCAAGAAGCACTCCCCCTCTGGCTCCGACTCGCTATGGATCAGCAACTCCTCCCCGTTGAGCCCCTTGCACGGCAGCATTGTGTACGGCACCGCGAACATCTTGGACACGCACACCACAATGGGCGCGCTTGCGCTGGCGCTGCAGGCCACCACACAGTTCCTCACCAACTCCGCCTCAGCAACAATGCTGCAGGTGTGGTTGGCGGCAGCAGTCCTCCTCCCGGGCATAAGCCTTGCCACTCTGAACGCCTGGGCAGCGATGGGGTCGGGCGTGCACTCGACGAGCATCTCCATGACCGAGTCCGCGAGCGGCAGCCACGCCCGCATCACGGCATGCAGCGACACCTTGGGGTCCTCGCTGTTCAGCTCCCGCGGCGACACCACCAGCTTGAAGAAGGAGACCACGTTGTCGTCCATCCACTTGGCGCTATTCGGTCTCCGGCCCCTCTGGTACACCTTCCACAGAGGCCTGAGCACGTACTCCACGAACATGGGCTGCTGGTCCTCGCCGCTGCCCGTGGCCTCCTTACTCAGAGGCAGAACCGCCTTCTTCTTCTTGTCTATGCAGTACGGTCCCCAGAAGCCCATGAGCAGCTTGGACCTGCTAGCGCCCGTCTTCTGGGCGTACAGGTCGGCAAAGCGGTGGATGCGGAAGCCCCAGCCGTCGTTCCTCGTCATCGTCCTCCTCGCCGCCGCCCGCGCGGCGGTCGTCTTTGTCGTCCTGGAGGGAGGAGAAGTAGTAGCCGGAGCGCAGCGTGGAGTAGATGGAGTTGACCTCGGCGACGATGCCGCGAAGGCGCGCGTAAGCGTCCTCGGGCGAGAGGAGGAGGTCGGTGATGAGGTGGTCGAGCTTGTTGAGGACGAGGCAGGGGCGCAGGCGCAGGCGCTCGACGAACGCCTGGCGAAGCGCGGCGTGGGTCTGGACGCGGACGCCCTTGGCCGCGTCGACGACGATGAGCGCCGAGTCCGAGAGGCGCGCGGCGGCGGAGACCTCGGAGCAGAAGTCGGCGTGGCCCGGGGAGTCGATCAGGTTCACGCGGTGGACTCCCGTAGGGTGCGCGTGCCGGAGCGCGACGGAGGACGACTTCATGGTGATGGCGCGCCGCTGCTCCTCCGGGAGGTGGTCCATGAACCGGGCGCTTCCCGCCAGCTTCGGGTGGAGGAGCCCGCTGCCGCCGGAGGCCACTAGGTGGTCCGCGAGGGAGGTCTTGCCGTGGTCCACGTGCGCTAGGATGCAAGTATTGCGCACGAGGCGGGGGTCCGCCACCGACGCCGCCGCCGGCATCGCGACGCGGCGGTTAGGGGAAACAGGCCGCCGCCTGCGAATTGGGATTTCCGGGTTTGGAATTGGGACTCTAGTTCGGTTCGAAACGTACGGGTACGGCGCGGCCAGGGCCCAGTGGCGGTGGGCTCGGTGTGTCGGTGAGGTGTGGGTGGGCTGATTGAGGCTTCCAGGTTTTCCCGTCCGAAACTCCGAATAGCACCGTGGAGCACTGGAGCGGTTGCTCTAAAAAAAAAAAAAAACACCGTGGAGCGATTTAGGAGTAAGGACCTGTTTGATTTGTCTACTAAAGCAGTTCAAACTTTCAAACTAAAATTATTCATCTAAAAGTTTAGTTTGATGGTGTTTAGAACCTCTAACTAAAAGTATAGGCCCCTACAAGTCCCGTTAGGTAAGATTTTATATAGTTAAGCGGGGTGTTTGGATCATTGGGCTAAAATTTAGCCTTTGTCATACCGGATGTTCAGATACTAATTAGGAGAATTAAATATGAGATAATTATAAAATTAATTATAGAAGCCGTGGCTAATTCGCGAGACGAATCTATTAAGCCTAATTAAGCCATCATTTGCACATATTTACTGTAACACCACATTGCAAATCATGAACTAATTAGGCTTAATAGATTCATCTCATGAATTAGCCCTCATTTATGTAATTAATTATATAATTAACCTATATTTAATATTTTTAATTAGCATCCAAACGTCTGATGTGACTGGGCTAAACTTTAGACCCCAGTATCCAAACATGGATTTTGTTAGTTAAAAACTGGGCTAAAGTTTGGTCATTAGTCTCCATATTTGGATGGATTATTAGACTAAAGTTTCGCTACTAGTTAGTAGACTAAATCCAAATAGGTTTTAAACTCTTTTTTTGACCTTTTGACAATAAATTTGTAAAATAAAAATAGTTTTCTAAATGCCACTCGGTCAAAGTCCCCGTTAAAATCTAGACAGTAGCGATGTGCCTTGTGATTCCCTCTTTATCTATATAGATATAGGCGATCTTCGTTCAAGGGCCAAATGTTTTTGCTTCCGCGAAGTTGTCATCCTTTGATCAACACTCAATTTAATACAACTAATCTAATCTTCTCTGAAACGGTGAAACCACACCATCCATGCTATCCATTGCACACACACATGCTTAGGATTCATCGACACGCTGAGGATTCATTGCTAAAATACATAGCTGATAGCTTACACATGTTTTACGTTAACGTAAAAGTGGTTAAGCTACAACATGAGTTGTTCAACACCTAGATGCATAAAAGTAGATGTTGTTTGTCATTTACATCTAGGCATAGAAAGAAACATGAACATCACCATGGGATGGAGCATGATCTTCCACGAGTCCTTTCATCACAACAAGCTAGAAGTCATGAACGTGCTCATAACCAAGAGCGCGACATTCTAAAATGGTTAAGTCAATTCCAACTCTGCAAGAGGGGTACAAGTTCTACCCATGAGAGAATAAGGCTACCGCCCAGGCCCATGAGTGGTGGACTCCGTGTCAAAGACTACCTGAATGGCACCGTGGAGCGATTCAGAGTCAAGACCTATATATTTTTTTGTTTGTCAACTAAAACAGTTCAAACTTCTTATTAAAAAAATGGAGTTCAAAGTTCAAACTAAAATTATTCATCTTAAGTTTAATTTGATGGTGTTTAGATCCTCTAACTAGGGCCACCTTTGGAATGCGGGATTTTTTCCCCACTCTTGTGTTTTTCTGTGAAAAATAAACTAATTCATGAACGTTTCTATATAATTCCTATGAAAATTCTCCATTTCCAAGGGGCCTAAAAGTTTTATGGACCCTATTAGTCCCATTAGGTAGGTTTATACTTTATAGTTAATTAATGGACTATTTGTTAGTTAGAAACTGAACCAAAGTTTGAGCAACTCATTATTCTTCGTGTTCGGATGGACTAGGCATATAATCACAAAACCACTATTCTTTCAACCACAGCTGCACTTCGCTTTATTCACCAGAGCCTTCTCAGCAACACAAGCATAAATCAGCGTTGGCTTTGAATAAAAGTTGATGCGACATATAGGCATATAATGGCATAATCACCTATTCTCTCGATCAACTAGAGCTACACTTCCCTTTGTTCACCAAAGCCTCCTTTCTCTCTCACCTGTTAATTTACTGCTCTAATTCTCTCTGATAGAGGCGTATGATTTTAAGACATTGTGGCATCCAAATTCCAAACAAGCTGTGGCTGCAAATGCGTTGCGGGCTCCGGGGGCCGCTTGGGACTGGCATGATGCTCCGGCAAGAGGGCATCATCCCACGTCCCACAAGGCCCCTCCGCTCCCTTCTCGACCACCGTAGCACCGTGCCACCTCACCACAAACCCGGATTCCATGGGCCCCGCAGATCCAGTCCTCCAATCACTCTCACTGGCACGCCGACCCCACAGCCAGAGCCAGCCCCGGATACCTCCGGCCCGAATCAACGCGTGACGTCGTCGTCGTCGTCTTCCCTCTCTTCCTCTTTCCCATCACCTCGCGTGTTGTCTCGCTACTTCTCGGTTCTCGCGACTCCCAAACGGCAAAACGCCAAAACCCTAGCCGCGGCCATTCAGGAGAATTGTCCATGGAGGCGAGGGCGTCGCCGCGTCCGTCGATCTCCATCGGCGGCGGCGGCGGCTTCGGAGCGGGGCGGGGCGACGACAGCGCCTTCTCGTTCCTCTCGAAGGGGTGGCGCGAGGTGCGGGACTCCGCCACCGCCGACCTGCGCCTCATGCGCGCGCGGGCCGACTCCCTCCGCACGCTCGCGGACCGCGAGCTCGAGAACCTCCTCGCGTCCGCCTCCACCGCGCTGACCTCCGCGCCGCCGCCGCCGCTCGCCGCGGGGGCGCCCATCGCCGAGCTCGAGTTCGTGCGCACGCGGATCCAGCCCAAGATCTCCGAGCTGCGGCGCCGCTACGCGTCGCAGGAGCGGGAGCTCGGCCGCAGGGTGCTCGAGGGGTGGGCGCCGCGCGGGGCGGGGGGACCCGCGCGCGCGCGCGTCGACCTCTCCGGGATCACCGCCATCCGCAACGCCATCGTCTCTGAAGTGGACGGCGGGGAGCGCTGGAGGCGCGCGGTGTGGAGCGGGGAGGTGGAGGCGGGAGAGGGGAAGGAGTGGGAGGTGGTCAGGATGATACGCGACGGCATCAAGAAGTTCGAGCGCCGGAGCCAGACCAGCGAGATTTTTGAGGGGTTGCGCAGTACCGGCGAGCTCGTTGAGAAATTCAAGTCCAGCCTGGTAATTTTGCACATCCATCTTGATAATTATTCTAATTAATTGAGCAACGTTGCTGGGCCTGCTGTGATTGGGTGGATTGCCCTGGGAAGTTTGTAGAATTTGTTCTTTACGAACCAACTCAATGTCTCATATGCGATTAGGCTCTAAAGAATAATCTGAACCAAGCAGACTGGGAGTAAGGATCATATGCTATCGTGATGAATTCTGGCACTAGTTACTTCATTTATACTATCAAGAAGCTGCAGAGCACCTCCTGAATGTAGGCATCATTAAATGACTAAGGTGAAAGCAGGGATAAACGTTCATGACTACTTATGACTTGTGAGATGATAAGTGCTAGTATTTAAAGAAGTAAATGAAAAAAATATATTTAACCCCAAGTGTAAATGCTTGACCTTTACTAGGATTATTCAGTTTCATTTACGTGCATGAATTTCGGTTCTTAAGCAAGTGTTTATTCTGTAGTCCCTTGTTTCAATGGAAGAGGAGTGGTGATCAGATTTAAGTTGCGGTTGCTTAAAATTTCCATTAACCTTCCAACAAATCTCTGCGCAACTGACAAGCTGGTGATAGAGCAAACCTCTAATGAATTATCGTGTCCAATATTTATACTCAACTGCTAAAGCTGGCTTATATTGGGTTATGTGAGCCTCATAGTTACTCATTTTTTGTGCAGAAATCATTCAACATGGAGTCTCAAGGATCCAAAGTAAGCCCAAAAAACCACTCTAACTATGATTATGTGGTTAACTGATGAGAAGTTGCATAATTTGATTTTGTCAGACATAGTTGTGGTGAATTTTGTGTTCTGGGCATTAATTTTCCCTTGGTTGGTTTTATTGGTGGATGGTGATTTCTAAAGACCGCATGGGCGCCAGTACTTCCCTTTTATGCGATATTATTTGTGTGTTGGATTTTGAAGACATATAAACTTTGTGCCTGATATGAACACTGAACTGTGAAACTTTCCAAAAGAAAGCAGCAACCATTTGTCTAGATATTTGATAGTAGTAGTACCTGATAATAATGCTGTTTACTTAACCTTAGTTCTTGATGCAGGAAATCCCTCCACTGGATCTACCTGAAATACTGGCAAATCTAGTAAGGCAGTCTGAACCATTTTTGGATCAACTTGGTGTACGGAGAGGTATACATAAAAATCATTAACAGGCACCTTTATATTACTTTCTTCCATTTACCAATAGTTGACCTTCGTATATGTTCATACTGTTCAGATCCGTGTGACAAACTAGTGGAGGCATTGTGTAGAAAACAAAATCATTCCCTTTCAGAAGACACATCCTTGCATGTAAATGATAAGTCATCAGACGAACTTGACTTGAGAATCGCAAGCGTGCTTCAAAGTACTGGTTATCATGCTGATGATGGTTTCTGGAGTGAACCTGCAAAGTATGAGGTCTCAGACAATAAAAGACATGTGGCCATAGTCACCACAGCAAGTTTACCTTGGATGACAGGAACAGCAGTTAATCCATTGTTCCGTGCAGCATATCTTACAAAAGGTACTAGACAAGATGTGACACTGGTAGTGCCTTGGCTCTGCAAATCAGACCAAGAACTGGTATACCCAAATAGCATGACCTTCAATTCACCAGAAGAGCAGGAATCTTATATAAGGAGCTGGCTGGAGGAAAGACTAGGATTTGAATCAAACTTCAAGATATCCTTTTATCCTGGCAAGGTTACCATTTAATGCATATTATGTCGAATTTGATATTTTCAATGACTTGATATTGACATGTTATATGCTTTACAGTTCTCAAAAGAGCGGCGTAGCATCATTCCTGCTGGTGATACGTCTCAGTTCATACCATCAAGAGAAGCTGATATAGCAATATTGGAAGAACCAGAACATCTCAATTGGTATCATCATGGGAAACGCTGGACTGACAAGTTCAACCATGTTGTTGGTGTAGTTCATACAAACTACCTGGAATATATCAAGAGAGAGAAGAATGGAGCCCTTCAGGCTTTTCTAGTTAAACACATCAACAATTGGGTGACCAGAGCATACTGCGACAAGGTACTTTGTCTAGCTTAGTTGTTTTTGTTAATTACACGAATGCCCATGAACACTCCTAGTGTTATCCATGTGTAGGTCTTACGTCTCTCTGCAGCAACTCAAGATTTACCAAAGTCTATAGTTTGCAATGTCCATGGCGTTAACCCAAAGTTCTTGAAGATTGGAGAGGAAATAACTTCCAATAGGGAGAGTGGAGAGCCGCCATTTTCCAAGGGAGCATATTTTCTCGGGAAGATGGTTTGGGCCAAAGGTTATAGGGAACTCATAGATTTGATGGCTAAACATAAAAGCGACTTGGACGGATTCAAGTTAGACGTATATGGAAGTGGTGAGGACTCGCAAGAAGTTCAATCTACTGCCAGGAAGTTGGATTTGAGTCTCAATTTTTTCAAGGGAAGGGATCATGCTGATAATTCACTGCATGGGTATGTATCAATCATTAAACTATAAAGGGGTTGTTAATGCTCAATTAATTCTGTTCTTCATTTTTTTTGTTGATTACTGATGCTGCCATTCTCTGTTTGTGTTATTTTCAGGTACAAGGTTTTCATAAATCCGAGCATTAGTGATGTCCTGTGCACAGCAACAGCAGAGGCTCTTGCAATGGGGAAATTCGTCATCTGCGCAGAACATCCATCAAACGAGTTTTTCATGTCATTTCCGAACTTCTTGACATTCAAGACTTCAGAGGAGTTTGTTGCGAGAGTGAAAGAGGCAATGGATAGAGAACCCCAGCCGCTGACCCCTGAGCAAAGATACAACCTTTCGTGGGAGGCAGCGACCGAGAGATTCATGGAGTACTCAGACCTTGACAAGGTTCTGAACAATGAGGCTGCTCAGCCTGGACAAGGTAGGAATAGAAAGAATACAAGAACCTCACAGCCTAATTTGTCTGACATCATGGATGGCGGTCTGGCGTTTGCCCATCGATGCTTAACTGGCAATGAGGTCCTCAGGCTGGCAACCGGAGCCATTCCTGGTACCAGGGACTATGATAAGCAGCACTGTGTGGATATGGGTCTCTTGCCTCCTCAAGTACAGCACCCTGTATATGGCTGGTGATGACTGGTGAGCACCCAAAGTTAATCGTAGGTATATATGTAGATAATACACCATGTAGCTCTTATGTCGACTAATGTTTGGAGTGTTGTAATTGTAGCACCCATGACGACCTATGGCCATTGTTTTGTACTCTGTAATAAGGTTTTTTCTCCTTAAATTTGGAGTTGTATTACGGAAATTTAGTACATGGCCCCGTTCGCTCGGAGGAATCTAGATGAATCTAGAGGAATTTGTGAGAGGAAATCAGCTGTGAACAGTAGAAATCAGCCGTGAACAGTGCTTTTTTAGCACCAGCCGAACAAGGCCATCAAAAGTTCATGACTCCAGAAGACTGTCAGCATAATCTTTGTATGCTTTTTCCATTGAATCATATTCTCAAAGCCAAAGGGCTAAGAGCATCTTCAGTGGTAGGTGAAAATGTTTTTCTTGTGGGTGGGGTGGGTGGGTGGGTGGGGGACCTTTCTCTTGATGATTTGTTTCTCTCTCACAGCGTTCTCACACAACCAGCGTATTGGGGGTGAGAGGTCCCCTCATCTTTGAGGGGTCCGGGGCTGGATTTTGCTCGGTTGAACAACAAAATTAAAATTGGTAGTGGCTAAAGTGGTGGAGCTGGAAATATCCACGCCCAGGGCATTTTTCTGTGTGTATAAAAAACAAAAATTGGGCTTCATACCGATAGATAGCAAAAGGAGCATTTGCTGTTTTTCTTCTCCGCAACTTATTTGTAAAGAAGTCCTTGAATGCTTGAGGAATGACTCTTTGTTTAATCTAAGTTGTTACATCATCATAAAATTCAAAGGTGTAGAAATTTTGCCTTTACTAATTATGTTTTACATGGACTTTTTATTTAGGCATTTTTCTTTCCAAACTCCGACATAAATCAAACTACTATTTTTAAATTTATTATTCCGAATTTACTATTTATTAGTTGTATTAGGCATGAAATTCAGTAGCATATATAGTTTTTTTTCTAATTAAGGTGGTAATATCTGGACTCTCTCGATTAACGTGGTGGCTCCTTTTAACACTCTTCTAATAAGATTTTGTTCCTAGTGTACAAAACATTTGTTCCAATATAATTTTTTGTTCCCTGTATTACAAAGTGAGACTGCTGATGCGTTCCAGGTTTACAAATCTTAATTTTATCAATATAAAGTTCTCGCCCACTTGAACGCATTTTTATTCTACTAGACAAATAAGGATCTGCATTGCATTCGATTGTCTAGCCCGCACAGTCATCAAACAATCCATATATAGATTGATACAAACAAACATAGTGTTACTGTATGTGTTAAATAAACGAATGGATATATATTGGGTATGTGGCATGTTCAGTTGTTCCTGGTATAGCAGCTATGTTTTCAGACGTATATATCCACTTGCAAGCACTCACTATAGCTTGTAAGTGGTCATCTGCAGTCTACCTTATTCGGGGCAAGTTTTCAGACGTAGTAACTGCTAATAGTTGGTGCATGTCCTATCGATCAGCGTGTCACCTTCATGTTCCACTACAAGAGAACTGGCGAACAACAGGTTTGCATCTCTGATTGCATGCATCTCATTGGCTGCATCTCGTATCGGCATTCGCTCTCTGGGTTGCTGCTTCGAGCAGGATATGCCAATCCTAATGACAGAGATCAGAGATTCCTGAACTCTGCTTCTTGTGATCTTATCGCTGGCATCATTGTGCACCCATATTGTTGGATCAGCTATCTCCATGATCCTGTCAGGGAGAGCAGCCTCCGAGAACTTGTGAAGATCTAATGATCCAGTAAACATATCGTCTGTTGGGCTCCTACCCGTAAACATCTCAAGTAGAAATATCCCAAGGCTATAAACATCACCAAGAGTTGAGATTGGAAAACCTTCTCCGTACTCTGCAATTAAGCAATTTTTTTATTACAATAATCAACATGCAATTTTTATGAAATAACTAGGGTAATGGTAAAAATCATGCAACAATTAATGTTAGTTACCTGGAGCAACATAACCAATGGAGCCTCTTATTCCAATGGTGCTGTTTGAATTTTGCCCAGCTATGTTTGCACTTTCAAGCAGGATCCTTGAGATGCCAAAGTCTCCAACTCGGGCACTCATATCTTCTGCTAGGAGGATGTTGCTTGGCTTGACATCACAATGAACAACTGGTGGCTGACAGTGATTATGAAGATAGTCCAGAGCATCCATGACATGGACAGCAATATCTAGCCTTTGAGTTAGGCTCAGAGTATTGTTTAGAGTGGAGGTTCTGTACTTGGGATGAAGCCAACCATCTAAGCTCCCATTGGGCATGAGGTCCATGACCAGTGCCTTAAAATCTTGACCTTGGTTATCTATGCTTGAGCAGAGCGTGATGATCTTTATGAGAGAACGGTGGCGTACCCTTCTCAGCGCCTCACATTCAGCCTGGAAACTCTTAGAAGACCCTGATTGCTGAAGGTTAAATACCTTTACAGCCACTGGTGTTGGTGTATCCTCACCTTGTAAACTGCATTTGTAAACCGAGCCATATCTTCCTTTGCCAAGCAAGTTAGATTCTGAAAATCCATCTGTTCCCCTCAACAAGGCCTGATACGTAACTTTTTGGAAGTGTTCCTGAGTAACTGCTGTAGGTGGCCCTTGACCCTTCGGTCCTTGCTTAAGCTTCCAAATAGTTACAGCGACTGAAACTAGCAATAACATTGATCCAGTTGTTGCCAGAGAAATGATCAGAGGCTTTGACCTATCTTTTTTGCTCTCTGTTACAGGATGCGTAGAGCATGGGGCCAAGCGAAGCTGAGGTATTCCACCGCACAGCTTGCTGTTTCCAGTTATTGATATGGCAGTCAAGTTGCCGAAAACACCCCCACTGGGCACTTCACCCTGCAAATCATTGAAGGATGCATCAAATGCCAACAACGACGTTAGTTTCTGTAGAGATGCTGTGATCGGTCCTGACAGGTTGTTGTGCGCTAGATACAGCCCTTGCAAGGCGCCGATATTGCTAAGGGCATCTGGTATCTCACCTGACAATCTGTTGGCGGTCAGGTTTAGTTCCCGGAGCCCTTTTACATTCAGCATAGATTGTGGTATGTTTCCTTCAAACATGTTGTTATCCAGCATCAACGACTCCAGTACTAGGCAATTCCCGATGGTATCAGGTATGTGGCCGGACAACTGATTTCCTGACAGGATCAGCTGGTTGAGATTAACCAAGTCACCAACTTCTGACGGAAGGGGTCCTGAGAATGAATTGTGTGATAATTGCAGGCTCAAAGAAAGGGATGGCAGAAAAACCTCCTTGGGAATTGAACCATTTAACAGGTAGTTCTCTGACAGATCAAGGAGATACAGGTTCCTTAGTTTGCCAAGGCTTGCGGGGATTGGTCCTTCCAAGCTGTTACTGTATGCAACAATCTCATTAAGCCGTGTAAGGTTTCCAAGTGAAGATGGTATGAGGCCTGATAACCTGGTTCTGTACAAGCCAAGCTGAACCAAGTTTGCTAGTTTACCGATGCTGTCTGGGATCACTCCGGATATTGAGGTGTTTGCAAAATCAAGTATGGTTAGCCCAACCAAATTGCTGATGCCCTGCGGGATGCTGCCCGAGATGCCACAGTCTGACAAATAGAGATACTGCAGCGTGGTTGACAGGTTTACCACCGATCTGGGGAGCTGCCCACTGAAGGAGTTGTCACTGAGGCTCAGCTGCAGCAGGTTGCTGCAGTTCGCCAGCGAAGCGACGAAATCCCAGCTCTCCGTGTCGGCTGCCTCAAGCAGGTTGTGGGTCAAGTACAGGATCTGAAGATGCTCCAGCCTCCCGATATCGCGAGGCACAAGTCCAGTGAATTCGTTGATCGAGAGCTGTAGGCTTGTGAGAGTGGTGAGATTTGAGAGGGAAGAAGGGATGCGTCCGGTGAACCTGTTGTTGGCAAGGCTGAAGTCTTCCATGGCGGGGAACTTGCTGCCGACGTTGGCGGGAATGCTGCCATGGAGCTGGTTCCCTTCCACGTGGAAGACCTTCAACGACGACAGATTGTACATGGCGAGCGGGAGCGCGCCGCGGAGCTTGTTCACGGCGAGGTCCAAGGCCCGGAGGCCGGCGAGGTTGGCGAGCCCCGGCGGGATCTGGCCGTCGAACTGGTTGTTGGCGAGGGCGAGGTGGCGTAGCGACGACATGTTGGCAAGCGACTCCGGGATAGGCCCCGTGAGGCTGTTGTTCTTGAGACGGAGCACCTGGAGCCGCGTCAGCCTGTCCCCGAACTCTGCAGGCACGCGGCCGCCGACGTTGTTGGCGTCGAGGAACATTTCCTCCATGGCCTCGCAGGAGCTCAGGTTGGCGGGGAACCTGCCGGAGAAGGTGTTGTAGCCGAGGTCCAAGTAGCGGAGGCGACGGAGACGGCCGAGGCTGTCTGGGACGTCGCCGTGCAGCCAGTTGAATCCCAGCTCCAGTGCTTGCAGGAACGTGAGGTTCCCGATGGCCGGGGAGAGCGTCCCGGCAAGCCCTCTCATGGGCAGGTTCAGCTCCACCACCCGCGGTGGGTTCCGCTTCGTACCACGGGTGCACGCCACTCCCTCCCAGCTGCAGAACCCGGTGCTGCCGTTCCACGATGCCAGCGCACCGCCGTCCATGGTGAGCTCGGCCTTGAAAGCGAGCAGGGCGGCCTCATCGCCGCCGCTCACGCTCGTCGCCAGGATGGAGAGGCCCAGCACACATAGCAAGCTCCTCTCACACATCGACGTATATTTTGCCATGCCCTTCTTGCATTACATTGGTTAATTGGTGGGAGAAGGAGCTATATGGTTGAGTAGTAGCAGGACGTCTGTGTCGATCATCTTTGCGCGTGCCGATGTCGTTGAAAACTTGAGCTTCCTTTTTGACGCTGGATGGATGTGATGTGCGTGAAGAAAACGTCGATGAATGCTTCCTTTTTACGCTGGATGTCGTTGGAAATTTTGATGACACGGCGACAGGGTTCGTCTTAATTTTTTCGCGAGTAGTGACATGCAAATATGAATTCGTGAAACTTGTGCATCTTCAGTCACGTCTTAGTCACCCCTAGTTGATGTCTCCCGGTGACTTCATTCATCGGTCACGCTTGCAGCAGCAGTCTAATCTACACTATAAAGGAGCAAAACAAAGTTTGGTACACCTCATGTTTGTGTACCCCTCTCCAGCTAAGATAGTTCAACTATACCAAAGATTTTATATCCAGGATTTTAACATCATTAAGATCAATGGCTCCTACGGCTTAAATTACACAAAAAGTCCATGCTGAATACAATTAATAAATACTCCACCCGTTCTAAATTATAAGACGTTTTGATTTTTCTAGATTCATAGTTTTTGCTACGTATCTAGATATATATTATGTCTAGATACATAGTAAAAGCTTCGAATATAGAAATACCAAAATGTCTTATAATTTGGGACAGAGGAAGTAGTAAATTTGGAATTTAAATTTTAAAAAATAGCAGTTTGATTTATGCCAAAGTTTGGAAAGAAAAATGCCTAAATAAAAAGTCCATGTAAAACATAATTAGTAATAAAGGCAAAATTTCTACACCTTTGAATTTATGATGATGTAACAACTTAGATTAAATAAAGAGTCATTCCTCAAGCCATTCAAGGACTTCTTTACAAATAAGTTGCGGAGAAGAAAAACAGCAAACGCTCCTATTGCTATCTATTGGTATGAAGACCAATTTGGCTTTTTAATACACACATATAGTTGCCCTGGGTGTGGATATTTCGAGTTCCACCACTTTAACCATCTCCGCCTGTCTACTTGTTGTAGCCTTAAGGCCACCGAGTCGTTATTTTTCCTTGTTCTTGGCCGGAGCGTTTTAGCATCACAATCGACATTGATGAAGAAGAAACAGCAATACTGGCTGGGTTCATTACATTGATCATCAGGTTTTCATGGCAGTGGTCTAGAAGAAAATATTCCAGCACACAAGATTATAATAAATCATACAAAGTATTCTGAGTTTTGATATCTTATTACGTGAAATTGGTCCATCGATTCCCCCCTACGCATGCGGGAGAATCTCCCAAGAACCACAATGGACATTATTCATCTTTTTTTTTTCTTTATGAGAAACTGGTCACAAGCATCATCATAACATGGCCTACAATAACGTGATACAATGGCATGGGTAGCAGGCCTGCTATCGGCGTCTCATTGGCGTTATTTATGCTTTAGTTTTTTTGTTTGGAAAGCCTTAGGCGCCAATGGATGTTGGCGCAATGACAACACTGTCTAGTGGTTGCTTGAAGCAGTAGTAGTTCCAACATACATGAGCATCCTTGTTAGATTTCGGCAATGTTTTAGGGCTAAAAGGACAACCACATACCTGCAAGAGATGATGTACGATGATACAAAATTTAAATTTTAAAAAGTGGCGAGGAACTGAAAGCTTGCAGAGACTTGGATAGTGATGTTATCGAGGAACTAAGTTTACTCAAGAGGACAATTAAAAGCAAGCATGATTTAGACTCAGCAAAAAATGCATACCTAAATTGTAAAAATATCTCTAAGCTTCTAGAAATTTTGAGAAAAAAATTTGGAGATAGATTGGGAGATGAAACCTAAATAACATATTTGGAGCTCCTGAAAATCTAGCTTGAAGCTTCCAAAGTTTAGGTTTAACTCTATAAATATGGGAAAATATGCACAAAAATTGAGAAAATTCCTAAAACATTATATTCAATGTCTAAACACATTTTAAAAGATTTTGGCTACAAAATTATGAGATGCAACTAGTATGAATGCAACTTATATTAATGTTGAATGTATTCACGATAAATGCATCCATGTTGATTGAATCTTATGTTTTAGTTGTGGAAACTTCTTAAAACATGTTTAGACTTGATTAGAAAGTTTTGGGGAGTTTTCTAGATTTTCTAGACAATTTTATATTTTCCTAGAGCAAAATATAATTTCTTGAAGCTTCTAGATATACTTTCACAAGCTCTAAATATTTTATTTAGGTTTATAACATCCCAATTTTTGTCCAGTATTTTTTCTTGGGATTTTATAGGCTTAGATTTATTTTTATAAAATAATAAAATGTTTTAATAATCTCTAAAAATTCATAACTTATTTATTTTGAATCAAAAACTTGCAAAACTAATACTCCCTCTGTTCCAAATTATAAGTAACTATGATTTTTTTGGTACATTGATTGAACCAAACAATTCAAAGCGACTTATAATTAGTAACGGAGGGAGTACCAATTTTCTCTAAAAAATCATAACTTACTTTTTTTCCCCAAGAATCTAGCCTTGAAGCAGCCCAGCCAAGTTTGTTACATTTGCTTGCAGCCCAGTAACGCTTTTGTCGTATGCCGTGTTGGGGCCGCTGGCTTGGTCAGCTCGTATTCGATCCTCGCCCAAAACGGATTCTTGGTCCAATGGAAATCCAGTCAATATAATGTCGGCCCTGGTCGCTTGTTCTCTCTTGTGCTGCGTTGACGAACCCTAATGGTGCTGGTGCACATCCTCCTGGCCCCACCGGCTCGCGCGCGCGCATCAGACGCGGACGCGGCGTCGAGGTAGCTAGCGGGGTGCCGGGGTGCATCGACACGTACGGCCGAGGAGGCGGCGGTGGCGCCGACGAGGTCGATCTGTGGCTGCCCAGAGTGGCCACCCGCGCCCCAGACGCGGGAGAAACAAATACTTGCGCGCACGTGCCCGGCATGGGAAAGGAAGAAAAGGATCGGAGATGGATAGATCAGAGTTCGGGACCCGCCTTGTTCTTCCAACTCCAAGCCGAGTGATGGATCAATCGATTAGTGCATGCATGCGTCGACCATTCAACTTAACCACAACAATGCTGCCGGTTTCAAGGAGCTACTATGCAATGATACGTATGGCATCTGTCCTACCATCAACAACAATAGAAGGATACTATGGAAAATGTACAACATAATTTATTATATGGCTACACTCCTAAGAGGATCATATCCTATTCACATGACATATCTATGTGTTTGTTGTTTAGTTTAATTACTTAAGGCATGTTATGCTTAGTCTAGGACCTCTATACTCTAGTTTGGTACATATTCTCACATGCCATTTTATGTGTTGTGCATGTTGAATTATGTAATGCACTATTTCTTTAGGTTTTATTTACAGTATGTGAACTAGTTTCAATAACTCCACAATATTAAACTAAATATTATGATCACAAATAATAAAAACAACAAAATAATAAAAAGTTCAATACTAGAGAATTAAAGTACATTACATGACAACATAATGAAAAGTCCAAGACTAGACAACATTGTTCATAAATAAAACATAGAACTAGCAAGTTATGGAAACTACTGAGTGCAACGAGACCACTTTCCCTTTCTTAGGGCACCAAGATTCTCCTCCATCGCTTCTTTCACTCGGCGTGCACGCTCAAGCTTCTTCTCCCTTTCCTCCCTGTACGCAGCAGCACATCTCTTTTCCTCCTCTTTCTTGTGCTCCTTTTCTACAGCCTCTCTGCATCTCTTCTTCATCATCTCCTTGTACTCTGCCTCCCACTTCAACAGTTTCTGCATCCACTCCTTATCTTCCTGCTTGATCTTAGTGTCGATCCACTGCTCAAAATCACAGAGCGGGGGAGGGATCTGCAATATATTCAAATGTTACACACCAAATAAACTATGCATGACTTCATATGACACAAAATAATTATTACACAATATCAATTTATCACCATCTTGTTAATGTGGCGCTAATAAAGTATAGGCTCAAACGCAAAATTAGCACACATCTAATACCTCTGCATATACGTGTCCTCTTCATCGGACTTGGCTACCTTGTAAAGATCACCGCAAAAGCACATGGGCACTGGAACACCACTAGGCAGAGGCGATAGGTCGAAGGCATTTTCGGTCATCAGACCATAACTACAATTCTACCAATTTCGTTGTAAGAACCGAAAGCAATAAACACTAAAATCTAAACCTAGGGTTTCTCATTTGATGGACAACAATGAACCCATAATATAACAAGATGCGCTGAGGATACCTTAGCTTGCTAGCTTTTTCACGCCTTGGCATCCTACGGTTGAATAATACAAATATTAACAATTGCATAAAACCCTAAGTTGACGATTCTTCGGTTGCAAAATATAACTAATATATTCCGAATTGATGTGAAAAAAATTAGGAGGGGAGTGAGGATACCTTGCTCTCGAAGATCTATGGATCAAATCTAAGTTTCCAAGGTCCAATATGCCGATTCTTGAGGTATGATGAAGTCGGGAGAGCAATAACCCGAGAGGAAGAAAGAAGAAAAGGAAGAAGGCTCGGCCAGGAAAGAGGGCGCTGATTTTAAACAGCACAACGGCGCCATAGATCTTGACGCCGAGCACGACGCCAAGATGATTTTAAACAGCACAACGGCGCCATAGATCTTGACGCCGAGCACGGTGCCAAGATCTATGGCGCCAAAGTCTACGGCGTCGTGCTGACTGCCATGTCACCGCCACGTCTGCGTCGACGCCGACGTGGCCCTAATAGCTAGGCGTCAAATATTCTGGCGCTGAGGCGTGTTAGCTCGGCGCCAATTACCCTAACGCCGAGACGAGGGTTTAGATTTTAAAAGCATATCTTCAGGGACAGATTTTATATAAATAACTTGAAAAAAAGGAAAAAAATTCGGTGATCTCGTCCATAGACTAGGTCTGCACTGTGTCCATAGACGAGTGGCGTTTAGGAAGAAACCGCACAGTACGTGCCTCTGTTTTCTGAAAAAA